TTTAAAATAAGTAAAGAAAACTAGAGGAACAGAAGTACTGAAGTTCTTAATTTTATAATTATAGTAATTATAGTATGTGATTTGTATACCAAAATTTCAAAAAATATGTTCGAAATCCCATTAAAAAATTCATTAAAAAAAAACTTATTTTATTCCAAAAATTCGTGTAAATGTTGTCTTGAAATCAAATAAAAAATTAAAAAACATAACAAATAAAAACGGATATGTTGCAAAGGTATAAAATATGACTGGTGAAAACTCAATAACATTAAGCATTATTAAAAATTGCGAAATGAATTTCGAAAATGGGGAAAGTTTCTAAAGAGGTTTTGTTGAAATAAATAAAAAATCCAAGATATATATTATAGAAATTCAAAATGGATAAAATTGCAAAAATGATCACTGTGGTATGTATTTTTTTTTTTTTTAGTCAAAACAACAACTTTTTTGGATTGATAGTCATTTTAAGGTAATTTCGTTGGGTTTTGGTCCCTCGATAAACTAAAATGGCGGTAATAATTTTTTCATTTTTCTTTCATTCTTTTAAAATCTAATTGTTATTTATTTATTTTTAATAATTAAAAATGGGGCCACTTCTTTCTTTCTCTCTCTCTCTCTCTCTCTCTCTCTCTCTCTCTCTCTCTCTCTCTCTCTCTCTCTCTACTTCTTCATCTTCCCCAATTCATATCTGATGAACACAGATACACACTTCTAAATCATATGAACACATGGAGTATTCAGATTCTATTTCTCACACAAACACACATCAATATTTTCATATGAAGATGAAAATGTCTAGAGAACGTCATTTGCGATTCACATATATGGAAGGAGGTGTGATAATGACTGTAGGGGAACGTCGGAAGTCAGAGACAACGACAAGACCTGTCATCTCCATTCACTCCGATTCAGCGGTAACCCTAATCGGATCTTCATAGCAACGATGACGAAACCCTAATCGGAGTTAGGGTTTGTTGTGGCTTCGACGACCTCAAGCTTCATATCTATCCTTCTCCGAGTAATCCAATCTCACTGCGTTCTACCCATTTCTTAACATAAATACATAACGATAAATGTATGTACATGCATTGCTAGCAAAATTAAAACCCTAGAAGACCCACATCTCCACAATTAAACATCAATGCCATCATCACCATCCACCCGCCGGACTACCCGTTAAAACCATCACGACTTCCAACAGTAGATTGTCTTGACCACCATCATCTCTTATGTTCATCGAGAACCCCAAAAACACGAAATCATTTGATTATCTTCCTAATTGGACTTGTAACTTGAACCAAGTGGTTGGATTAACAACAAAAGGAACTGATCTTATTATGCACTTTGTATTTAGATCGGATTGACATTTGCATTGATATTTGTCATCTTTATCTATTTCTGGTTTAATTATCAACTTCCTCACTTTCTCTTTTGTTCTCTCAACAGGTAATGCTCACTGCCATTTGTTAGAATCAAATTGGTTTGTGTTGATTGGGATATTGTTTCCTCAAAATCTGTTAAAGACGATAATGGGTTTGGAGAGAGAGAGAGAGAGAGAGAGAGATAGAGATGTGGGTCCAATTTAATTATTTTTTCATTTAAATTAAATAGAAAAAACATAAAAAAATATCAGAAGGACATTACAGTCATTTCAGTTTACCGAAAGATCAAAAATGCAACAAAACTACGTACCAAAAATCCAAAAAAATTGTGGTTTGGACTAAAAAAAAAACAAAAAAAAAATAAAAATACCACAAGAACCATTTTTGCAATTTTGTCTACAAAATGACTGTTTCAGAAATAACAACTACTTCTGTATATCTCCTAAAATCAGATCATGCGGTTATTTTGATGAATATCCTTATATATATATATATATATATATATATATATATATATATATATATCATGTCATCTTTTTTATGACTTTAGAGATGTAGCCCTTAATCTCAAAGATAAATTGTTGTATAAACGTATGTGGGACATTCTATTCCTACCGAATTTAATATACCTAAAGAAATTGACCACAAACACAATTAGGACCATTGACTGTGACATAAAACCGGTTTCCATTCTAATTTTCTTAAACCTTTAGATTTAACTACCCATAACTTAGTTAAATAATAATCAAATCGTTTCTTTAAATTGCAATTAAAAAAAAAAAAACTTATAAACCATAATCCAAACACTCCTTCTGTATCCATGAAACATTCGATTACCATAACCCATAAATCAAAACAGAAAACCCATAAAAAAATCACAAATAAAGAAATCAAACCCACCTTGCAGGGCCTGTTCTTGATGACTATGTATCCATTTTTTCGAATGGTGCCTGCTTGTTGAGGGAAAGTTTTGGATGCTCCAGCATCAGCCTTGGACTCGAAGTGAACCTCTTCGTCGGACATCCTTTTTTTATGGGTTATTATTATTTTATTTTTTTTGAAAATCAAATAAGTTTAGGTTTTTGATGATTTGTGGATGATTTAGATTTAGATTTTGGAGAGAAAGATGAGAAAATTATGGAGATTAGTCGGGCCATTTTATTAGGGGAGGAGGGGGAAGTGATTCAGTCCTTCTTGAATTCTACTTCCTTGCTATGAAATGTTCCAAATTAATCGCACTAGTAAGATGTAATCCTGATCATCGGATTATGATTTATGATAAAGTTTAAATAGATTAAAGATGGCTTTTCAAGGGGTGAAATTTTCAAAAAAAGGAATAACAAAATATCTAATCACAATTTTGATGCTAAGTAATATATTTTGTAAACCTTGTTTTATCGTTTTTTTCCTTACAATATTCGTGGAGATCATGTACCGTTCTTGGGGGACTTATATCTTCAATCTTATCATGGAATTGCTGGATACCCATAAACTGTATTTGTTACTTGCGAGTAATGAAAATTACTTTTTCAAAATTCAAACATCCATTGTTAAGATAGTTTTTACATGTTTATAAAATTATATATTTTATGTTTAGGAAGGTTTCAGAATTCAAAATGTTGAATAAAGGTTCCAAATTACCAAAACAAAAGTTTAAGTTTGAAACTAAGGTGATGTTGTATCAATATAATGTAGTAACAAGGTTTAAATGTCATCACACATATACATGAGTATTGAGAATACCTAATGTTAACTCATTTGAAGTGGGAGAAGATAGCAATCATCACACATGCCACACTTCCCGCAAGTGCGACCTATCGGATCTCCCTGCCTATAATTTGTGGCCCTCATCCGCTTTGGTGCAGGCTCCAACTGCACCGGTGCCTGGCTCTGCTCTCTCAACTGGAGCTCAATCTCTAACTTGCGCCGCCTAGCGGCCTCCTGCAACTCCAACAAGGTACTACACCTCTGCGTGGACACGAACTGCCTGATGTCCCTCTTGAGCATACTCAAATATCGAGACATCTGAGCCTGCTCCGAAGCAAACTCCGGGCAAAACATCGCTCTCTCAGTGAACATCCTGGTGATCTTCGTCACCGACTCTGAACCCTGCTTCAGTTCCAGGAACTCCTGAGCCAATATATATATATATATATATATATATATATATATATATATATATATATATATATATATATATATATATATATATATATATATATATATATATATATATATATATTATATATATATATAGGCTCAGGAGTTCCTGGAACTGAAGCAGGGTTCAGAGTCGGTGACGAAGATCACCAGGATGTGGAACATAACGAGTACTAAACATTTCCCGGAACTGATCCCACAAAACTGCAGCCCGATGCGCATCAGAATAAGATCTCATAGTCAACCTCCACCAATCCTTCGCCCCAAGCCTCAACAAGTTCAGAGCACACCTCACCCTCTGATCAGCAAGGCATGAACATGTGAAGAAACATCCCTCCACATCTGACAAACATCTAATAGTAACAATTGATGGGTTTTGGTCATAAGACATCTTATGTGCTCATACAAACCCTACTACTCGGATCTAGGTTTCTTTATTGTACATGCTTTGAATCCAAGACTATAAACCCTAATTCTAGCATACAAGTAATCATATTAATATGTAATTAGGTTTAAGATCATACCTTGATTGTTATGTAGCAATAACAATCCCAATTCCTCCTTGTATTGACTTTGGAAGGCTTAGAGTCACAAGTGTCACTCCTCTAATGGTTCACAAACACCATAAGCAAGAGGATGAAGAGGAGAGAGGTTGGAGGCTGCCAAAAACGTGTGTAAACCCTTACAAGAAGCTTAGCCATATTTTTGAGCCTTAAGGGATCTTTATATAGTTGGGCTATTAGGGTTATCTAACAAGGAAACCCTAATATGAATGCTTAAGCCCTAAGCAACCCATAGACTCCTTTAATTAAGCCCATGGACGATTTCCTTATGGGTTTCCCATTAGAATTCGTCCATCCCTTAATACAAGGCAATCCATGGCCCAAATTGCAATTATCTTATAATTACAATTCCAGTCCCTTAAGTTTAATTAATCTATTTTAGTCACAAAACTAATTACCAATTAATTATTGACTAATATTAATTAAACAATATGATTTCTCCTTTAATATATTATTCCCATAATATATTAATAAATCATGTTTAATCATTTCTCTCCATAATTCATCCTATCAAGTTGCTTTGGTGAAGGCAACCCAAAAGGACCATGCACCATCGGGTCAAGTACATACCAAAATAGTTATGGACTTAGACACTAATCCAACAGTCTCCCACTTGGATAAGTCTAACAACTATTCTGCGTATGAATTCAGATCCTGATCTGCAATCGTAGCTTTCCAAAGCCGCTGTCAACTCTGATCATATCAGATACGCGTGTCCTTAGATAAGGGATCATATATTCCTCCATTCTAGATATCGTATGAGATATGATTTCAAATCATTCTCTTTGTACTATATCTCGATTTCCGATTTATGACGACAGACTAATTGAACAAATCAAATTAGCCCTAGCCCGGCCGAGCATTTACGTATGTCATCACTAAACCATCGAGGGGCCCAAAGATATCGCTTTTATTCTTTGAATAAAAGGAACGGATAAACTTTGATACAATGCTTGCTTGCACTCACTCACTGAATTACACACAACAATATGTTTTATAACACCAAGTTACTGGTGCGTTTACATATTATTAATGTGCAACCGATTCGCAACATACAACTCACACATCTCGGTTTCAAGAATATAAGATGTTATCGTCTCACCAATCACTCGTAATACAATTCATGGAGTGATCCAAGTGAGCGTGGGTTTAATCCAATGCTCAAATCATATTCATAAGCACTCATGAACGTTGCAGCAAACATTTGCTTATGTCTAATACTTTTCTAGACAATCCACACACCAATTCACGACAGTCTTCATTCATATCTACTTCCAACATTTGAACGACTGTGGCCCGTTTGAATAATTCAATTATTCTTAATAAACTCAATTATTCTGGAAGTCAAAACATGCAAGGTGAAACACAAGAATAATACTAATCCCATATGGCCTCAAACCTTTGAGTATAAACAAAACACGTTTTATTTATCACCATATCGATTACTCATTATTTGTCGTTTCGGGTAATCAACTTTATACTTGAATTATTACACTTGTCCCATGCTCCTAGCATGCACACAATGTTTACCTATGGTTTTTACTTTGTGAAATAGACAAATTGAACACATTTCCAATCATTCTCATTTTACAACTCCAAATCCATTTTCTTAAGTGTAAGAATATCAAATTCTTGTTACTTATAGAATATACTAGATTTTAACACTTTATGCAACGATCCTTTTGTAATGTCACTGCACCAAAGTCTCAAAGACTATTGCCAATGATATTACAAAGTCCTCTAACGTAGATTGTTACAAGACAATTCCTTAGATATGATGTCTCTTACTCAAAGTACATTCCTTTGAACATCCTTTTGCATAAAGGTTTCTAATCTAGTCATAGATTTTTAATATTTACTTCCCAATATGGACACGCTTCCATATTTTCCATATGACAACTAATTTCTTAATAGAATCTTATCTATTCGTAATGATGTCGATATTGTCCATCCAACATGGAAACATTTCCATAATTTCCAATACTATACTTCCAACTACTTACAAGCGACCAATTCTCGTCGAACTTCGAATCGTCCTTTGATAGTTGTTTAATTATTTTAGTCAGAACCAATTCTAGTCCCTTTTTTCCTCTAAATGCGCTGGACATTTGGAAAATTTTAGAATGGTCAAACATTAAAGCATTTGCAATCGATCCTATACCCGAAGCGTATGGGACACGACGCACAATGTTTTATTTTCTATGTTCTCAAAATTCGAATTGTGAAGAGGAATGCCGTAATCATAATCGAAATTTTAAGAACACACTATGTACCTTTGACTAAATTTATTAACATTCCACAACCTAATCCTTTAGATTTGAAATGAAGCATAATATTCTCTCCCTTAATTATAGCAAAACAACTATACAACCCTTACGACTTTGCAAGGTATAACTCTTGTTTTTCTATAATTAATATTGCCAACTTGCAAAACTTTCCATAATAATCATACAATCATAACTTTTATGCTCCCACTATCATGATGATTATTATAAAACATAACACTTATGCTCCCACTAGCTTCGACATGTATTCATAAATATCTTAACTTTCAGAAAGACAATACCTATTGAATTTCTTAAGTCCATGTTTCTAATACTTAGTGCTTTGATAATCTTTTATCAAGGCTTCTTGAACTTATACACTTTTGCCTTAGATAGTTCATATGTGTGTCTTAACAATTAAGACTAATTGCCAAGCCTCACAATTCAAATTATGGAAAGGGATGTCGTAACCATGATCGAATTCGAGAATGCAATTTTACAATCACTATCTTTTAAAATCTTTCTTAGTGAAAGCATTTTCTCACAATCATTTTCATGAAGGAGGAAATCTTATGACACTTAGATTTAAACGGTGTATGTGTTCCTATCCATGTGAATTTGTTAAAAACCAAAGTTTACGACAAATTCAAACTCATATGGATCGAACTTTCTTAATCTTGATTTCTTGCCTTATGGTAGCACAGATGCCCACCACGTCTTCCAAGTAGTTAAGCAGCTCACCTTTTCCTATCAATGTACTTTCCATTGATCAAGGTCCTTGCCTTTTATGCATTCAAATGAGAACTCATAGGACTCACATGCATAATTAACTCGATTGGATTGGCACAGAAACAAAATAATGTCTTCACGATAGGTTGTAAACCTCAACTCGTGTGCTAGTGATAATCGATAAGGTTTATTTGATTGTTCTTGAAACTTTCAAGACTATTAAGACTCCCACTGACTCCTTGACATATACGATTCTCTTATCAAAACATTTCTTGACAAACAAATATTCAAGAGTTAGTGTAGCTTTTATCAAAACAAAACACTTCATAATTTTGGTCTTAGTTGGTCTTTGTCTTATCCAAGACATCACAACTTTCCACAATTGATGAATGTTATAAACCT